ACTGTGGCACCTGCTGTAAAGGGACCAATGTCCTAAGCTGTAGCAGGTTGGGCTCTTCCTGGCCTGTGTAGTCACTAGGTGGTGGGCGGTTCTTGTACTGATGGAAGGGATTACACTGCAACCCTCCCTCTGTGGCGTCATCCTTGCTGCACAGATGGTGTGATGGACAAAAGGCCCCCCAAATCTTCACTCTGGGAGCCAAGACTTTCCCTTTATTTCCTTCCTGATTCAGTAGGTGACTATTAACCTTCTGGCTGTTCTACCCAGGGAGGGACGAGAAGGGTGGGGAGAACAAACAGCAGTTTGGACATGCGGCAGACCCCTCTCTTCTCCCCACCCCAATGGCGGCGCTTGCCAATCCCAGGCCATGCTGGCCAAACCTTTCAGTACGTGTTGCTGACTGAAAGGGGCCCCTCACGTACAGATAATTCATGAGCCATATAACTGGTAGCACTTTCCCTTTTACCTTCTTGACGCTCTTTAATTCCAACGCATCCTGCTCTACCTTCCTTCTTGCTGCCTCCTTTTCCACCCGATCCTCGATGATGACTTGTTCAAATAACTGGCACTGCAGAAATGCACAGAGACGCTCTAGAACATGCTTCGCTTAGAAATGGACTGAGGGCATCATGATGTCTTTGAATTCAGGAGCTCCCTGAACAAGGCTTGTCCCTCATAGCTACGCCATGGGGGCTGATGTGCAAGCCACGGGCCTTCTCCCTCGGTTCCTTTCCCTGGGGGCTGTCCCAGCTCTGCAGTGCAAATGCTGCATATAACTGTGTTCCCCATCATGAACCTGTAAGTTGCCCCATTCACTGCCTGAACATATTGAACCCCCTGATGTTCTGCTGCAGAAAGTGTGTCTTGTCTGGCTTCTGGTGGAACAGGTGTTGGTAGCACGTCACCCCGAGCACATGGGGACGTGGCAGAATGATTGGGACACAGGGATGACAATTGACCTACGTTTTACATGCAGAATGGAAGATGAGTTGCTCGACGGGGCAAGGAGTTGAGTGTCCTCTAACTCCACAAGCAGGCGCTTAGAACTTAGTAAACAAGCTATGTCTACACTGCCCCGCAGTTCTGACTACCAGGGTGGGAACAAATAGTGTGCACTAGTGTAACCCTCTTCAACAGCACTATGTTCATGTGAACCAGGAACCTTTTTGTTAAACTACTTCTTTAGGAAGTTTTCACATGTTTACAAATCCTTGCCATGTAAATATCGGAAACAGAACAATCATTACACCAGTGAGATTTTGTTGAGAGATTCTCCAGGAACATTGTCATCAGAGCTTTCTGTTTAACAGGGTGTTACCAGGGTTCAGAGTGAGTGAGCATCATTACAACACCTACAATAACCCTTTAGTTAATGCCCACAGGGGGGGTGGGGAATTACACGCAGCACTTTGGTGCCACTGCTATTCATGTCCCCACAGTCCGAACTGCAGGGCAGCCAACAAGCCCTCTGAGATAGCCCTTAGTCTGCACCGCCAGCAGTCGCTAGCAAGCGGGTTAAAATTCCACGGAGCCCCTCTCCCCCGGACTAGCAATAGCTTGTGTGACCCAAGGTGAGGCACAAATTGGGAAGGGAGTTTGTCCTCCCTTGCCCCTCACAAAAGCCCTTCAGTTACTTGCCACTCTCGTACACCCAAAACGGCCATAGGAAAAACAACAAACAATGGCATTTCTTGACCAGAGTCACATGCAGAGAACAGAGGATTCATGCCCCCTGTGGCTCCCTCCTGACACCACTTGCTGTGTTGTTCCTGCCTATTCTATTGAACAGCTCCATGGGTTACTCAATCTTTTCTCTCCCGTAGTTCTCTTCCCTTGTTCTGGGTGAATGAAAAGAGTGAGGGTGGGGAAGTGCCCAGGGCCCAGCTTTTGGGATGTTGCCTGGGCAGTGAAATGCTGGTTCACTGAATCCTTTAGTCCACTGCTGATCTCATACCTGCTTGGCTAGTTCCTGCAGTGCTGCTAAATCATTTGCCTTGGATGCTTTCAGAGTGTTCAGTTCTTGCTGTTTAGCTTCCGTGTCCTTTTCATACTTCTCCATCCAGTATTCTAGCTTCTCTTCCAACTTCTGTGTGGGGGACATACTGTGACACTTAGCACAGCAGACAGAATTCACCGAAAGGATTAGTAATGCTACTGAAAACTTTCTATCATTTGATCAGTCTGCCGTCTTTCCGTAAGAGTAACATTGACGTTACACAGCACGGCAATTCCTCAGCATACCCCAACCCTTCAAAGAGCCAAAATCCTGGAGCTAGTGCGGAGCTACTAGTGGTCTGCAGAGCCCATCCTGGAGGTCAAAAGCTTTGGAGAGCCAAGCCTTGGAGGGCTAAGGGGAGGTGGGGCAATGTCCCTCAGAGTGGTCTGAAGAATGGAAAAGTTGGAGAACCGCTAGAGGTTGGCTTAATACATGGTAAACCCCAGTGCAATAAATGACAGATATCACCCCAAAAGTGCTGGCCAAAAGAAGTACATATGGCTCATAGCTTCATCACTAATGATTAGGCTCTACAGATTCTTAGAATTACAAAGGTAAACCTCCATTTAGGGCCTGCAAGCCACTTCCTGGACTTATCCCCAAACACGGCAGGGATAGGATCCATGGGACAGGTGCCCATGCCTTTTCAGGATGTGGACCGCATTTCAGTATGTAGATTGTTTCACAAACAGCTGCACAAACTGCTTCCTCCCATTAACAGTTGAATAACATCCCTGGGGCAATGATCACTCACATGGCAAAGTAACCCGAAGAAAGTGCTGAATGACTTTTAAACTCTTACTGTGATTTAGCAGCCTGGAAAGGAGGAGTCAGCGCTGTATGCCCGGCCAATTCCCTGTGGAGCACAGACTACGGTATGACACCCTTGGATGAAGGACTCATACTTCTGCCTACATGTTATCACCTTTACTGGGAAATCCCCTCACTCCTGAACCTTGGTGGTGTCCAATGTCTCTGGGACGTAGGGAAAAACTACCTCAAAGTAGTCCCAAAGATGCCTTTTCTGACCACTGAGCCACTTGGCACCTCGCGTCCCCTAGAGATGAGGATGACAGTTCTCTATACCAGACACAGTATAGTATAATATGGTACAGTTAGTATATTTTCAGCTCATTCTCAGGTGGTGTCAAACAACGATCATGTATTGGGACTGCCAATGATGAGTTATAGTTTCCGTAAGTCCTCAGTGTGACTTAACACTTTAAAATATTGCCGTTCTGGAAAGTAAACTAAACGTGGACCCACAGTCTGGCTACGAAGAAGGGTGATATGCTCAGGTTCCCTTTGCTTACTGATTGCTGGGATACATGTTCCCTGTTTCCCCTTGGAAGAGATGTGAGATGTCGTGTTAATAGGTGGCTTTTACCTTTTTCGGCTAAGAAGTTTGAGAGACGCTAAAAAATATTAATAGGCTTTAAAAGGCAAGCAGTATTTACTTACCATCAGAGAAGTCACCTGTCTGAAAGGCCCTGGTTCAGTGCTGGGAAAGCTTTGTTTGAACAGTTGCATCGGAGATGACACAAGAACATGCTGTGATAATTGGGCCTACAAAGGTACCCTCATTATGGGCCTAACTGTGGGGAAGTGGACAGAAGTTTATAAAGCAAGACAGACTGAATTAGTTCAAACGAAAAGGCCTCCTGATATAATTCAAGGACTGTGTTAAGATCCTGCCTGGTAAACAAGAGAATTGTATGACTGGAAATCAACTGACCAAAATTGGTGTCGGAAATTAGTCCTAACTGATTAACAAAATGATGAGGGCATGGGATGTTCCACCCAGCACTCCCTTTTGGGGTCCTCGAGAAGAGACTTTGGGGAAAAAGCCAGCTACCGCAATGCTGGCAAACTGAATGGAGGGGAATTGTAGAAATGTATGGCTGGAAAGGACCTTGAGAAGTCATCAAGTCCAGCCCCTTGCGCTGTGGCAGGACCAAGTAAACCTAGACCATCCATGGCTAGTGTTTGTCCAACTTGTTTTTAAAAGCTTCCAGTGATGGGGATTCCGCAACCTCCCTTTGAAGCCTATTCCAGAGTTTAACTACCCTTAGAGTTAGAAAGTTTTTCCTAACATCTCACCTAAATCTCCCTTGCTGCAGATTAAGTCCACTACTTCTTGTCCTACCTTTACTGGGCATGGAGAACAATTGATCACCGTTCCCTTTATAACAGCCCCTAACACATTGGAAGACTTAGCAGGTTCTCCCTCAGTCTTTTTTCCTCAAGACTAAACGTGCCCAGTTTTTTTAACCTTTCTTCATAGGTCAGGTTTTCTAAACCTTTGATCATTTTTGTTGCTCTCCTCTGGACTCTTTCTAGTCTGTCCACATCTTTCCCAAAGTGCAGTGCCCAGAATTGGTCACAGTCCTCTAGCTGGGACCTCACCAGTGCCGAGTACAGTGGGACAATCACCTCCTGTGTTTTACAAACACTCTTGTTAATACACTCCAGAATCATACTAGCCTTTTTTGCAGCTGCATCACATTGATGACTCATTCAGTTTGTGGCCCACTATAACCCCCAGATCCTTTTCAGCAGCACTGCCATCTAGCCCGTGATTCCCCACTTTGTAGTGGTGCATTTGATTTTTCCTTCCTAAGTGCAGTACTCTGCACTTGTCTTTATTAAATTTCATCTGGTTAAATTCAGACCAATTCTCCGGTTTTCCAAGGTCATTTTGAATTTTAAACAGACCCTCCCAGATTGGTGTCATTGCAGATTTTATAAGCATACTCTCTACTCCATTATCCAAATCATTAATGAAAATATTGCCTAGTACCAGACCCAGGACTGACCCTTGCAGGACCCCACTGGATACGGCCTCTCAATTTGACAGCAGACCATTGATAACTACTCTTTGAATACAGTCTTTCAACGGGTTGTGCACTCACCTTATAGTAATTTAATCCAGACCACATCTCCCTGGTTTGCTTATGAGAACGTCACATGGGACTGTGTCAAAAGCCTCACTGAAATCAAAATATATCACCTCTACTGCTCCCACCAGGTTACTAAGCCTATCAAAGACGGTGAATAAAGGAAGTGAACACTGGCTGACAGAAGGGGAAGGAGTGAGCTTCAACCTTGGACCTTCTTTGTCCTAATCCTGAGAGATGTCCTGACCAGACTGAGCCACCGTCACATTCACTGACTCTGGCTAAATCCTAGAACACAACCTGGGATGTGAGATGGTCTCTCTCTCTCTCTCACTCACACACTTTTTTCCTTCCTTACCTTCTTTCTTTCCTATCCCTCTCCTTTTGCCTAATAAGAGTCTGGCTTAGCTGGCCAAGACTGCATATTTTGCAACACTGCTGTAAGCCTATGACCAGAAAGGCAGCTAAAAGCAATGCCCTCAACAGGCTGATGCTGGTACAAGTTTTCCAGCTCTCTGAATGGCTGATAAGACCATGTGCTGGGCCTGTGTTTGTCCAACAGTGAGGTTGCAAGTGAAAGCAGGGCCGCCGGGGGGAGGGGAGGGAGGCAAGTGGGGCAATTTGCCCCGGGCCCCGCAGGAGCCCCGCGAGCCCTGGCCAAGAATCCCTTCCCTGGCTAGAGGCGCCTTCTTAATTTTTCCTCACCCGGCGGCGGTCCGGGTCTTCAGCGGCGGGCCCTTCAGTCGCTCTGGTCTTCAGCGGCACTTCGGCGGCAGGCCCTTCAGTGCTGCCGAAGACACGGAGCGAGTGAAGGACCTGCCGCCGCCACAGACTCGGAGCGCCACCCGGTGAGTACAAGCGCCGCAGCGGGTGGCGCCTTTTTTTATGTCCGCTCCCCCCGCTTTGCCCCAGGCCCCCTGAATCCTCTGGGCGACCCTGAGTGAAAGTCAACTCCAGAGACAGACACTGCATTGTCTCTTTTCCCTTTTGCGTGTGTTTCTTGTTTTGCCTTCAAGGAAATGGGATCGGACTTTAACAACAGCAAGGACAGCTCCAGCTCATCTCAACTAATGTCTTCTCTCTTCCCCAAAAAGGACAATTATTACCATTTTTAACACCATCTTAGAGACTGTCAGACATGGGTTTTCTTCTTCTAAAGACTCTCTACAGCTTAAGGGAAGGGAACAGGGGATGTTAAAATTAAAACCTTACTTAATACCTTACATTTCAAATGCTTTAACTGCTTTGCCTCCTTTTTCTGTATCTTTAATAAAAGGTTATAAAGGATTTTTTATAGTATGTTTGCCATGGTACTAAGCAGGCTGAAGTCTCTCTAGAGCAAACCCTGAACCTTGTCCAATGCTGTTGAATGTTGAACAGTTTCAGGGTTGTGTTAACATCTTTGACTCTTTGGGTCCTTTCTTCCATATAAAATAATACAACAGACATTATGGATCGTGGGCAACCTGAATTCATATAACAGACGTTATGGATGGATTGCAATCTGAGTCTATCAAAAGAGTTGTGAATCGATATTTATCCTACCTAGCTGGATTTCCCTCTGAGCAAACAGGCTAGGATAAAGCAAAAACAGATTGATGGCTTCTATAATGTCTTTTCTTGCCCCCAGTGTCCTAGTTTACATGTGCAACTCCTGGGCCTGTGAAGCTGTAGTTCTGTTGCATGTATTAATGCCAGCTCCTGATGCTGCTGGAAGTCTGACCTGTTTGCAATGAATGTACTTTAACTTAAAGCCCAATTATCTGAACATCTGTGGTGG